GGTGTCACTTACTCATGATTCCAGCACCACTGAGGAACCGACATACATCTCGACTCAATTTGCGACGTCATGCGGTGCAGCATCGAGGAAATCTAGTCCCTCGGCAAACCCCGTCAACCACAATCAGCCTGCGGTTTGGAAACGCATAGATAGATCGATGAAGAGACTTTGTGCTGAGGGAAAATTTTGGTTGGAGCAATACGACTTCACTTCATGCGACTCAGAAAACTAGAGTAACTTGATAGAGAGAGTTTGGAAATCTCGCCCCTCCACTTTCCTTTGAGGTCTGAGGACCCAAAAATGAAGTAAATACTCTTGATATAATCGGATTTTTGCTTGGATCGAGAACCAAGCCTCTTAATTAAGCGGATTTCTTTTTGATTCAAGCAAAAATCCGATTGGATCGAGAGTATTTTTTCTTGTCATTGTTTTCAAGAGTCTGGACTCTAGATCGAGGTGACTTTTTTCTCCAGTGTTGTTTTGGATTTTGAAGATGAGTTATTGCCAATTTTTGATGGCTATCAACAGCTGCACTTGCTTCCGACTTACTATATTCATCCATGATGATCTTTCTCAAAAATAACAGACGATTAACCGTAAATCTATGTAAACACGACGGAGTGATGCATTTGAATAAAAATGTCGGTGCAATATGCAAATGGAACTACATTTTAGATCATTTTGTATTTACAGATACTTAAAGCGTCCGCCAATTTTGGATCCTAAGGACGATTCCACGAAGCTCATGATGGAGGAGCTAATTAAAAACGGAAGCCACATAGCGATACTCTCTGTATCAAATTGGTATACCGTAAACAAATATAGGTTCGGGTAACAAAAATTGCTCGTAGGATAAGAATCTTTCGTGAGTCTCAGAGTATCGGCCGACAAATAAAGAAACGAAAAAAGCCAAACTTAATTTCTAAGATCGGGAAGTTCAGATACTTAACCCGCGTAGTTAGATGGGTCATATGAATCAATGATCGGTTGAGTTAAAAAAGACTGTATGAATTTATAACCGAGCGAATTTCTTAGAGCTAAGGCGATATTTCTACGATCTAAAAAATTTAAATTCCAGCGACCGTTGAAAATTTTAACGCCTTCAATTTTTCCGCGGTCAACACGCACATTCGTGAAACACGAATAGTTGTATCTAGAGCTTTGGTCAAGATATTGGCAAGGGAATTTTTCTACAGGCACATAAAAATGAGATTTTTTTCTTGCAATCAGCCAAATTTGATGACATTTTCCGGAGGATTTTGAAACGTTCGAATGAACGTATCCTTTATGCACAAAGTCGATAGGTCGAAGTGCAAAAGGGACCGAATGTTATCGAATATTACTCTGGTAGACAGAAAAGGCAGACTTTACCCTAAGAAACTACAAATACCGAAACGAGATTCGATGAGGGTGTCTTACAGACGCCGTTTCAGTGGGAGGAGCCCCCTTGAGGCAATGTAAATTTTTTCACCCTGTACCCCTCAACCAGTGTCAGTAGAGATAATATATCACCATTCGAACACTTTCCAGCCCGACCCTGATGGGGACAAAGATAGTTCAATAGTCCTTAAAGTCCATTCCATCCTGTTGCAACCATGCGTTGCCATTTGAGAAATTGCGATAATTTTTTACAATGGGTACACGGAACGTGAGATCGTTTGAAAAATGAGACATTTTTTGTAATACGGGGTGGCTAGAAAGACTTAGCTTTTTTCCAGAAGCTCCTCTGACACATTCACAAAATTTGGCTTATTTGTACAACAAAGGATGATGTATGATAATTTGAAGATTTTTCGATCGGGTTAAAAGACAAAAGGAAAACTATGGGATGCTGAGGGTGACAATTTGCCTTAAAAGTAAATCATATAGTTTCTCGAAATAAGGAAGGTAACTCCACTGCGAGGTCAATAAATCGACGCAAGCCATTTACTATTTTACAGATATGAGCAGATGGTACAGTTTTGAATCAACATTTTGCTGATTTTTGCGTGTAAATAAAGAAAAGTCAGTGAAATTTTCGGTTGAAAATGCAAATAAAAGTTTCCTAGACAAATAAAATTTGCGAGTAAAGATCCATCATGGTCGGAGTGTAGCTACGTTTTTTCTGTTTAGGAGCGAACAAAATTTTCAAAGTTTCTTTTAAGTTTTTTCGTGTTCAACAAATACTATCGTCGAAAAATTGTTTTAAACCTCGCGTAACTAATTTTTTATTGAGTTTTGGATCATTTGTCTCTTTTCTCCTGACTGTGGCCATCCTATAACGGATAGCATCACAAAAATTAATTGTGCAGCTCTTGAAACTTGAGCAAAAAACCTAGAAGGGCCGGAAGTCTCGTATTCATGACGGTGCTTGGCAAGGAGGGATTCATTCCAACATCCTTTTTTTTTTGCCAATGTCACTAGAAAATAAACTGCGCTGCTCTTGTTTTTGAAATCGCAAGAGAAACATGACTTTTTTCGAGGTTGGTCGCAGCTTTTTCTTCCTTTTTGCTTCCGATTTTCCGCTGCTTAGTCGACTCGAACGACTTCCAATAATTTACTGGGATATTCCTAACGCGGGTCTTTTCACGACTTGCCTTTTTTATGTTCAGCTTCAGAATTCGACTCACGTTCGGGTTCTTTTTTGTTTGCTCTATATAAAACTCTGTCCACTCCCCGGAGAAGTAACTATATTCGAAACGCATTGCACTAATGTCTTGCGTTTATTGCCTCAGGGCAAAATCGAACAATACCCCTCTCAAAACAAAATTATCGCTGCTGACTCGTTCAGCTTCTATGATGGACTCTATTTTATGATTATTTTATTTTATTTCACTTTTTTTCTATTAAGATACTTGAATTACTTACATTCATACATTGATAGCTGAATAATTGGGTGCGCAAGGAGATTTCAAACAATTTTGTGAAATGGACACTTCTTCACTGACTTTAAATGATTAACAACAAAGAGAATAAGAAAGGAAGTAAGAAAAATAAAAATAATCGGACGCATGATCTGGTTTGTGTCCTATTCTTTGCTAGTTATGGGTACTTGAGAGTTTTTCTGGAAAAGTGCAATCCAAAACATACCACCCACAGAGGTTGGGTCCAAAAGTAGTCAGGGGGTGGACCCCTTCTCTTAGAAGACGTTGGTTTTCTCTTGAATTGTCAAATTTTAAACTTCATCTGCTCGTCGGGAGATCATATTAGAAACGCGCTACTCTCCAGTGACTCGCGCAACGCAGATTCGTGATTCTCCTTCAATTAGTCGGTTATGCAAAATAACTGTCGTTACGCTTGTATAGTTGTATCAAGATTTTACATGCTCTCTTACGGGCGCGTTGAAGGCGCAAAGCTAGTTTGATCTCTCTATGAATCCACGTGAATCGTGTTGCCTTGACGATACCGCAACCGCTGTTTTGGAGCCATTGAAACAACATTGACAATTTGGGCTACTATTTTCCTTGACAATTCTCATTTATGGTTTGAAAAATGTCTTGGATAGTTCTATTATTTATCAATTGATGAATATTAAAACAATTTTAAGAGAACATAGAAATTGAACTTTTGCAGATATTATGCCGTTCAAAACTTGTTGAAAATATGATGACGTTGATCCCAGAAACCACAACATGCGTACATCAACTATTTACACCGTATACGTAAAATAAAATAATATTTCGACAGTGAAACTCCCAAACGAGAATTTCATTCTTCACATTCTCCTCGTTACATTCTTTTTGTCATCTTTAATTTTTTATTGGAAAACTAAACTCAACGGGAATTTTTACATACTACCGTGATTTTTCCTCTCTGAGCGAGGAAAACCCCGTGAAAACTTCAAGGAATGATGTTGATTTTTACGTATTTCTGATGGACGGAACCAGAAACATGGGAAAGAAGGGGTAAGCTCGTTAGTTGAGGGTCGTAAGAATGAAAGAGAATTAAAAAGCGCCAGTGACACGTCAGTGGCGACGAACGGAGAAATAACCCCTTAAAGTGGTCTTAAACTTATGATCCCTGTCCGAAACGCTCTTATCCAATGCCCACGGCTCATAAGTAGTGCCGCAAAAAGTTGGCACTTAGTTCCGTTAGGTAGAATATAAAATCCCGCTTTTCCATATTACCGAAGGGAATCACGCCCACTTTTACAGAGTTTCTTGTCCAGTTTCTGAGAGCACACCCAATCTTACCCACTCGTCTATCGTTCCGTTCAACAGAAATACGTCATTTATTCTCCTTTTAAAAAAAAATGGATTGCTGATTCATTAAATTGTTGGAAAATATGTCCGACATGTTTCAAATGTACATTTTGCAATAATGGAAAGCTATTTCAACCACAGGAGGATTAAATTAGCATTTTTCATTGTAAAATCTACATTGGAACATGTCGAACAATTATTTTAACAAAAAAAAATGTTAAATCAGCAATATCATTTTCCTCCGTGCCAAAGCGAAGATTTTGAACCACCAGAATAAAGATGCGTGGTTTGGGAGCTTCACCCGTTGCCTACGAGAATGGAGAGGCCGTAATAACTATGATTCTGTGACGTCACACTAGTAGATGAAACTCGGCCGCGGTTTAACACGCGTTCTTATGGGAGAACGCTTGCCGCGCGATGATTTCTCGCCGATATCTTTTTCAGGGTTGATCTGACGCAAAATTTCATAAGAACCGTTTCGAGAGAGGATAAAATTTTACTTTAGAAAACTAACTAACCCGTTTGTGACATTGTCTAAAAATCGAGGAAATGAAAGCGTAATGCCGAAAATCGTTACTCCACTCAGATTCAAACGGGCCGCTCGCGCAACTTGGGCCGATCGAGGGCCACTCTGATTGGTCCACGCAGCGACTGCCTCACTCATCGATGCACCGATGACCCGGAGATGCTTGTTGTTTTCGGTAAATATCTACTAGCTTGACGTCACACAACTGACTAGTTACGGCCTCTCCATTCTCGTAGGCAACCGTCCCCATACTGTTTATATGATGCACATGAATAAATGAAAATGTAACTAACCTGGATTATAGGAGACAGTCTGCCGCCTGGTGACATTGGTGGCGGGGATTTTAAGTTCACATACTATCACAGTCGAAGTGGTCAGTTCTGCCTCCGGTAGAACCGTCGAGGCCATGATGTCGTACACGGCGCCTCGCACCAGTGTCTCTACCGAGGCACCTTTTACGGGAGCTCTGTAATCATAAAAAAAAAACTCATGAAAAATCTTCTTACGTCTGACAGAGACCAATTTTGGCTCTTTATAGAGTCTCTTAAAGTGGATTTTGCAGGGTTCTTTCTTTTCCGTTGCAGATACCGTCACCTTCTGGCCAATGTATAATAAGCACCATGCGACGCACAGAGGAGCGAGTTAGTAGAGAAGTCGAATTTTTGACAAAAATTGTAAAATTTAACGTTTATCTCGTCACAGATTTGATTTTAAGGGGTCCTTTTCACAGACAATTTTACGAGAAAACCAATTTAACTACTTTTAAAACATTAAAATTTTATATTAATGAAGATAAACGCTTTTAAAGTTTTTAAATCATGTCCAACCTCTTCCACTGACTCGATCGACCGTGCGACGTTTCAAAATTTCCACCGCCATTTTATTTTTTTATAGAAGAATTGTTGGTTGAATGGGTGAATTGTTGGTTGGCTGTTGGTTGAGGTGAATTTTATAGGCAGCACGAAGAAAATTCAGATAAATTTTCGAACAGCTTCGTTGAACAATTCCTCTGTAGAGAAATGAAAGCGGCGGAAATTTTGAAACGTCGCATTATGCTTGTGTTACTTTGGCCGGCAGGCGACGATACTCGTTCTTCGATCCCCACTTCGAATTTCATATCCATCCTTCTTTAAAATTACAGGGTGATGTAGAAGTCCTGCACCACCCCTATAACTCCTAAGTTTTTTGCTGTTTTTGAGGGTACTCCCTTAAACATTAGAAGCGTTCCTAGAAGTTTTTTCCGTCTGCCTGGGAGCACAAAGAACAGTATTTTTTGATAGCTATTTTGATTTTTCCTTATTGTGTAATTAATACTCTACGGAAACGAACAATAATGGTTCCTCATCCTTCGATAAAAAAAGAAGAGATGCGCGAATTTGCAGTTTCAGCGTTGATATGATTTTCCTCCATGCCAATAGACTTATGTTGTTTTGATGCGTCCAGTTGGACCGATGATTTTTTATTACAGTACTGCGATATTATTTTTTCTTGAGTAAAGAAGCAACTGCTTGCGTATCCGGACTCCACGAATCATAAAAAACACAGGAACTGAACAGCATTTTTCCATACACTCAACTGCACCGTTTGATCCCGTGAATCGAGAAAAAACTGTCAAAGTCCGACAACAATGTTCAATTAGGGACTCAGATTTCCTCCGGTTGATTTTTAGGGACAGCCCTCGGGCAATCACTCCATCAAAAGCGCTCGATTACAAAAATATAAGTTTCGACAGTGACTAGAATAAATTAATAATGTAAACCTGAGGTGATTGAAACTCGATTTCCGTGATGGATTTACAGTGTTCGGTTCTCAGAATCAATTTTGAACTTTCTCTCCCCTCTTGATTGGCCATGCAGTATGTCCAAACAGACACTCTGCCATGGTATGGGTTTGGGGAAAACTTTTGTCACGCTTTGTGTCACCAAACAAGTTAGCGCTATAAAAGCCTAAACTTCTCAGTCAAATGAGCAATAGGCTCATGATCCCATAAAATACACCTCCTGAGTAAAACGTCTATAACACTGAAAAACAATATTCTGTCCCTACGTTGAAGATAAACCGAGTCAACTTTGAGCCTACTTTTGAGTCAAAGCTGACTATATTTCGTTTCATTTGTCTCTGACTATCTCTAATTGAGTCTAAAATGACAATAATTAACTTTAAATCATTTGTAATGCCCTGTTTAAATGGAAACTGCTGAGTAAATTGAACACGATAGGAGGTCATTGGTTGATAAATTGGAAAATTATTAGAGAAGATATGACACAATGATCTAATTTGCTAGAATACAAGTGGCTAGGTGGGGAATGCCGCCGGATGACGTCGTCAGGCGGTGAATTTTTCAACTTTTAAATCTAATTTTATGGTACTTCCTACATCAGGTAAAAAATATGAAAGATACCGCAAAATCATTTCTTTCACCACTTTCAGACGAATCACCAAAAAATTGCGTGCAAATTCTCCATTGCAGCTTTTCTAGAGGTTGTTTATAGAGAAAACTCTATTGCTTAGAAAAAAATTCGAAGAAATCATTCATAGGTCCACGGAGGCTTTCTTTAGTCCAAGCTTTGATCATGGCAATACGCGGAGGATACCCCCGGATTTTCAGAAAAAAGAGCCACTTTTGACGAGATTTTGCGGGCGTCATTTTCAGAATTTGAACAGTGAACTTGAGCGATGAAAGAAGTGTACGGGCGGTGGTATACCCGGTATACGGGTGTGGAAGGAGGGAGGGAGGGCGAAACCCATTCGGCAAAAATGAGAGCAAAAGCACGTATATTGATTAATGAAACACACGCCTTACGAGTGCGCCGGTAATCCAATGCTCAAGGAATCTCGGCCCTTTTATGTGTTTTTACGTGTCCCTCCCCTTTTTGAACAACCGTCTTCTTTTGCCCCGCACCTGCCAGACCGCGCTATGGAATGAGATATTTTTTGCATGGCTCCAGTCAATATGGACCGCATTTTCCTACAAAAAAGGGAGGGTGCACTAAAAATTATCAATTTTAGGTGGATACGGATGCCGGATCTTGCCGATAAATACTTTTAATTGGAAATAAATTCCGGACTTAGGTTGCTATTTCTCCACCGAAGAATCAAACGGTCAGTTTGTACCTGTCTAAGTTGACTCCATCATACAGTGTTTCCTTTCCAATTGTGGAATTGTGAAAATTTGTTCTACGTTGACTGAATAATTTGCATTCCTTTAAAATATTCTATCAAGTGTTTTTGCCCATTACGAAACTACCAATTTATTTCAGTCTACATCTTGTTCGCTTATTATATAAACCCTTCAAATAAATTTGTTCTTTGTGCTTACTTTTTGCAAAAACGCCCCAAAAATGGTCCTATATTTTGCAGCTAAAATCACTGACAGTTTTGTTGTCCATTTGGTAAAGCAAATTAAATAAAGAACTTCATCAAAATTTTACACAATTTTTCCGGACTTGCATTGCAATTTATTTGAAAATAATTTGATTACATCCCATTATTCCATCATTATAGAGTGATATGTCTGGTTTAATATCCAAGTTTCCAAGTTTTTCTCCAACTTGCAAGTCAGAGACCTCACCGTGTCAAGGTCTCAGAAGAAAAGAATTCCTTACTCGTCCCTAATTTTTGAGGGTTTGATCTCCACTTTAGCATAATACGGCAATCAAATTTTGTTCACAAAAACATTCTTAAAAACCAAAATAATAAATTGATCGAACGCCGGATCGTTCTCGATAGTGCCACGGAACCATCTTCAGAATAACCAAAATTTTGTCAATCATCAGACAACCCCGCCGAAGACTTTATCACACGCGCGTAGCGATGCCAAGGCGGGCGGGCGCCTACATTATCGTGCCTCCCCCTCCCCGCGCCGTGCCCGGTATGAAAATGGAAATGCAGCGGGCATTGTATTTTTCCGGAGGGAGACATCCCAACATTTCTTACTTTACGCGATCCTGTCTGTCAGTTTTAGCGTCACCCTCTCCCGGACCCGAACCCGTCGGAGGCGCCGCGCGAGGAGGCGAAGAATTTTTCAATTCCGGCCCGGGTTCGGGCCGCCAGAAAAAACGCGTACCGACTTTGAGACCGATTTCCAGGTATTCCGCGTATTTCACGCTACCTTGCGTCGGTTCCTCTCGGTGTTTGGGAATCTGAAAGATTCCTCTGATATTTTATGTGCCTCGAGTAGCGTTAATATACTTTTTATGGGAGGGTCATTTGACGATAAAACGATTTCGGTACCTTCGTGAAAGAATATTACCATTTAGATTAATCTTGATTTTTTTTTTTTTATCATAAATGTGTCGCTGGTAATCAGCAATCGCAGGCACTTTGCAAGCTCCGTACTTGCCAATTCGTCAAATTGCAATTACAATAACATCGATACAGTGAAAGTTTATTTAGCGAAGAAATTCAAGGCACGACTTCAGCTTTGAACGCCTTCAAATCCAGCGATACTCTCCCGCTTTGCCGCGGAGTTAGTTTAGTTGCTTAACCTAACCAAACCTAACGCAGATTATTCATTACATTTCACAAACTCACGAGTGTGTTAGCTGGTACTATGCATTCAGGAAGAAGGGGATAAAGTATGTTTGAATTCAAAGCATAATAATCACTACTTCCTATCTCGTTTTTTCACATTAAAATTTTTTAATTTGTCTATTCGACACGAATAGATTGCAATTTTTCGGCGATTACTAATTGCCTGCGACAGATGCACGGATTTAACTTGCATCAGTCTAACTGTATTTCACATTGCTCAATATTACCCCAGGTTTTATTTTCAACAGCGAACTAGACTAGTTAACGCCTTTAAAATTTATGTGCATTTACCCTAGATTGTTAAGAATATACTCGCAAAACTTCTATCCGTTTACCACGTAGCTCCGTGTTCGGAAAATATAACATCACGGATGATTGGAAATATTAAAATCAAAAGTAAAGATAACCATTCTGAATTGAGCCTTGATATCCATGAGAATACATACATGAACGGGCTCATGTTACACTGAATGAGAAAAAACACTAAGAAGTGGCCCGAATACTGTATGTAACAAGGTGGAGAAATGGTGCTGGATCCACACCATTTTGCGGGGAAAACAAAGCCAAGAAGTTCCAAAAATTATAAAAAAAAAAAAAACATTATTTTTGACTCTAATTATAATTTTTGGAACTTCTCGGCTTTGTTCTCCCCCCGAAATGGTGTGGACCCAGCACCATTTCTCCACCTTGTTACAATGAATAGGGTGCCTTTTGATGTAAATGCATCCATTTAGGCAACTTGAAATGCAATCGGGCTGAAATCGGTTACATCCGTCCAAATTAGCTCTCTGACTTGATTTTTCAGACGAGTCTATTTTGCCTCACTCCTGATCGACACTGGGAGATTCGTAGTTTCACCGACGAAAGAATGTAACTACATTTCAACGCTGCAACATTTTAATTTTCTAAATAAGTTGCCACACAGAAACTGTTGAGCATATATATGAATGAAAATGCTATGGATTTTTCTTATTTCATGGAAAAATCAGCATAATTTTAAAAGATAATTGCACAGTTTTATTCCTTGTAAAGGGAATTTGTATTACCTCAGTCAAATTTCCGATCTCAGGTTACGTTCTTTCATCTTAAGAACAACGAATCTCCAGTGACACATGAAACTGTCATTTATGCTGTTTTATTATATACTTGTATTTGACGCGAAGAGGAGGGGAGAAGAAAGAAGAGAGATGAAGTTACCCATGAAATGTTACAATCCAGGATATAATGAAGAACAAATTCGGAGAAAAAAACTCACCTGGTTTTCGTCCCAGACTCCGTGAAGAGGGTCATTTTAGGCTCCGGGTAGACACCAAGAGCTTTACATGAGATATTGACAGACTCGCTGCCATATTTGTTAAGAGATAAGTCGAAAGGCTTCCCCGTTGCTGAAACAAAAAACATATAAAATTAATTAGAAACTTTGGTTGGGAGGATTAAACGGTTCATCGTGACATTTTTTATTATCTTGTATCAAATCATTCTCCTGATGAGCATATAGCATTAAAAAAATTATAATAAAAATCACCAGATTTTGAACAGTTTTTATAAAACTATTTCACACTTTTCAACGGATGGAAGTGAAAACTTAATTGTTTCACAAAAAGATGCAATAATTATTGGACTGTTCGCGTATACCGTGACGTATTTCTGAGTTAAACCCAATGTCGAAACAATTGATGCGTTTTTCAGTTAAAGGGTGTATGAGACTTCCAATGCTACTTAGATTGTGCAACGTAGTTCTAGTTGTAAATAACTTATCCCGCACTTCTGCTGGCGATTTTTCTCTGAATCTGCTTCGAGTTTTTCCTCACTTTTGTAAACTTTTCCGAGAACGAATTTTATCTGCCACAAATGATATAAGACATTGCACAATCTCAGCAGCATTGCAAGCCTCATTCGCCCAATCAAAGGAAATGTCTTCAATTTCATGATAACACCCGCTTTTCCAGATTGCTTGACACCTGTGCAACTCATTCGGTTATATTCCTGCCGTGTCCTTAGCTTTCTGGTCTACTTCTCTGCAACTGGTGAAAATGTGCTCTTCCTGATCATCTGTGACACCATGCGAGCCAATCATGAGCAAGAAACTGGGGAATCAGGAGACAATCAGACGTGAATTCCAGGAGTTCGAACTCTCACCATAAACGGGTGATGTGATAATTGTGATACACCGATAACTTGAGAAAATCACAAATACAGTACAATTAAGCCTCGAGGGACCGTCCATAAGTTACATATCCGGTTTCATTTCAATTTTTCGACCATCCCCCCTAAAAATTACGTCATCCTTAGCGTACTACCTCCCCCGCTCTTAGAGGGAAAACTCAGAAAATCGATACAATCAGTACATATAGTCTGCAGCGTTAAGAACATGCTTGATTCCTTTTATTGGGTGTTAAATATTTGTTGTTTTCTTCCCCCTTTTTGGGGTAAAACGCAGAAAATCGATAAGAATTGGTAGTTATAATCAAATTTCAAGCAAGAATTTTCAGTCTTTTTGCCTTCAAGAAAGCTCACGTCATCCTTGGCTTGATTCCCCTCCCTCCCCGTCACTCATCGTCATCCACTGATAGATCCCCCTCCCCCTTCTTAGGCAACGTAATTTATGGATGGCCCCAAAGTACATTTTTTCATTGCCGCGCGTTGTAAGATTGGCTGTCTAGAGTCTGGTACAATTCCCGTGGGGACACTCAAATATCTAATTCCGCGGCACCACCCTGTTTTGATGAATCATTCAGCGGAGGAGTTAACGATTGGTATCCTACGGGCTATGGGAGAGCCCCATAAAGTTCAAACGGGCCCAGGTCATAAGAGGCGTGTTGCGCTACGTCACACGTCGCAGCAGCGCAAGTTGGAAGTTCCGAATCTCCATGCAGCCACTCAGGCACGTTCCTTGGAAGAAGACTCAAGTTTGGAATACTCCGCAAACATGGTTGCCGCCATGATTCCTCGGTCGTGACGTCATATCAAGAAACTGCCTAACTTATACAGAGACAATGTATTTCAGAGACCCCGCACTAACGAAATTTATGAATCCTTATCGGGGTGAGGCAAAATTGAAGTTCGGAGAGTTCGCAAATCTCGAAAAACGGAAATTTTCAAAAAGGGGACCTTGTATAATTCCCCCAAAAGAAGCGTATTTTCGTTGATGATCGGTCGAGCCAAAATGCCGCGATAATGGCGGCGAGATCACAATCGGAATGGTAAACATTTGAGGTTAGACTTTCAAATTTGACGCCGATCGGATGCCATCATCTTCATCAGGTCATTTCTAGACCCTACTTTTTGTAGGATTATATTTTGGCTCCAACGTTTGCAAGAATTCCACCTTCTATCCGTCTGGTGAGCCCCGATGCTGTTCCGAAAAATTACGCTCGCGTCAAAACAGAATACGAAACCGCTTGATCCACCCATTTTAGTTCGACAGATCATCGACGAAAATACGCTTAAGAAGCTCAAAATTTGAAATTTTATTAATTTCGTACAGTCTGATAACTCATTTTTTTTGGGGGGGGGGGAATTTGACACCGAAATCATCTTCCTACGACAAATCGTTGAGAATTTACGCTACTTTAAATTTTTTGAATCTAAGCTCCTCTTCTTCCTTTTCCCTGGGAGTTAGGCAAAAAATAAGACCAGTTTTAAGTGTCTGGAAAATCCCTCTTCCATCCCTGAGAAAATTGAAGGATTCCGTGTTTAGGCCAATTGATCGAAAAGTAGTAAGTCCCTTTAAAGCCCAAAAGTTTAGAAAAAATCACGATTGCTGCAGTGCAAAATTCAACATTTAACCGTAAATTTGTCTAGCTTTTCAACAGCTCTCTGAAGTTGCGTAAAAATTCCTAAGATTTACAGTAACATTTTACTCTGCAGGGGTTCATGACACTTGTTCCTCTTATTCGTTAAATACTGAAAAGTTTGACAACGTGTAGAGCTCTCTTCCACCCACGCAAGGAAGTATTTGGCACTCAGAGAGAGTCTGCATGTGAAGTTCCGAAGAAACCTCTGACGCATGCAATATTTGGACGTATTTATGCTAAAAGGTACTATGTGCATAGGGTTTGCTTGTAACATAGTTCCCTCTAACGTAAATACGTCCATTTAATGGTGCCTCGCCTGGTATGTGAGAAAATTTTTGGGATAGGTTAGCTTGTATTTAAAATTCTACGAAATTTAAACCTCGGTTTCCTCGAACACGGTAACTTTTATATCCAGAAGTTAGAGATTTTAGAAATGCATATTGGGTTTGAGGAAGTAAGGAAAACCACAATTTTCTCGGAAAAAAGCCTATAAAACGTTCCGAACACTTCTTGTTTTATTCATACTTTAAGACTGTCTACGGTGTTTTGTCTGAAATTTTGATGAGGAAACATAAGTTCTCGTGCTTTAATAATTCTAACGGAGCCTTGCACTCTTCAACTGTGCCGCACCCATTCCGCCTTCAAAAACTTGGCTAGGCAGTATATGTGGCTTAGGGGCAACTATAGTTGCTCGTTAGCAGTTCAGCCCCGATACCTTGAATCAAAGGGGAATAAAGTTCAACAGGTGACGTTCATTAAGGTTTTACGCGTTTGCAGTTTGATGTTATAAACTGCCTATAAGTACTATCTGTTCTCCACGAATTTCGAGAACGTATGAGTTTGCTGTAATAATTCTTAAAAATTCTCGTGCTCTTCCAACAAATCTGCAAACCCATTCTACCCAGTTCGTCTTTAAAATCTACATACGCAATTTGCGTTTCTTAAGAGTAACAATAGTTGTTCGTGGCAGTTTGGCCACATTTCTTTGATTCTATTAAGATTTACAGTTTATCAGGAGGCTTTCATCTACGTTTTGCGCCGGTGCAGTACGCATTTGACAATGTTCGATACGCACTGTAGATCTTTCATTTCCTTTAACACATGTCCTGCTCGCTTTCAAATGGACTACATTTTGCAATTAGGAACTACTATCTTTGGCTTAATTTAAAAACAACGCACGTACCACTTGTTTCCCTATTCACATAAGTGTTTTTTCGGACGAGCCAGAAATTGTAGTTTCTAATTGCAAAATCAAGTCTATATGTTACCAAGACTAGTGCTCCAAAAGGATCATGTTGATACAACAAACCTCGTGGGTGAAACAGTTTTGTACCAATGTCAATAATCCATTCTACAGAATCCTTTGAACGGGTTCACAGTATGCAATTCAGTTCATGCGAATAAGCCAAAAAGACGAGAGAATAGTTGCAAGTTGACTGGAATATTTCTTCCGATATGCGCTCAGTCCACGCAATAAAAGCTGACTGAAGCGAGCGTTTAACCTTGAAAGTGCTGCCTTTTTCCCTTTGAGACCGAATGACCGCTGAGCCAGCTTTGAAATATCCCAACTTGAACGGCCCATTAACTTCCGAATCGGGACCGTAAAAACGGACGCCCAAAGCCGCGTCGCCAATTTGAGACATGGATTCCATTACATCGCCGCACTAAGGCAGAAAGTCGTATGAACATTCGGGAGATGTCAAATTTCCCCTAGAAAATATGTATTTTGAAAAGTTTATGAATATTTTTCCTTGAAATTTTCAGATGTCGTGGATTAAATTATTAAATTCTAAAAAAAAATCATTGGGGGTAAAGTATCCAACAGTTTTCGTTATAATCACATTTTATCAGAGGAAATTTGGCAACAGCTGAAGGTTCATAAGGCGCTCTTCCTTAGCACGACCGATTACGTCGCGGTACTGAGGCATGGCGCCGTATGATCCTTCATACGCTGCCAAATTTCTTTCGATAAAATACGAATTTTCAGGGTAATTTGCTTAGCTTAAAATTTTCTTTAAATTTTTCGAAGAATTTGATATGCACTTTAATCTAAAGTATCAGTCATATCGAGGGGAAATATACGTATGTTTCACTAGAAATTATAGCTTTTTGTAGAAAATTTGGCAACAAGCGGATGTTCAAATGGTGTTTTTCCTTTAAACAGCATTGCAGGTAAGATTATTTCCTAGTACTACTAATGCCTCGAGGTTCTAACTTCCTTTTTATATCCAACGTCTGGTTGCATATTTTGGCAAAGGTAATTAAAGCCCAATGAATTTTTACCATACTCTGCCGTCATACATCCCGCAATATAACAAATGCCATGCAATATCACCTGATTATGTTCACCTAAAAGTCGACTTCGGTGCATCGTTTACATTCTTTGTTCCGTCGCTATTCTGGCGTAAAAGGCGTATCTCTCTATCCACATGAGCCCTGTTTTAAATATAAATCCATGCTTTCTAGGGCTCATGCGGAAATTGAGATAGCCCCTTACGTCGCACGGTGGATCGAGTCAATAGGAGAGGTCGGACAAAATTTGAGAACTTTAAAAGCTTATTACTCCGTTTATAACTTTGAAGTTCTAA